TGGGAAAAGCCCAAAAGCTCCTGGGAACGGGAAATTTGGGATTGGGGGGGTGGGAAAACCAGGATTTGGGGGCTGGGAAAAACCTGAAACCACCTGGGAACGGGAAATCCGGGATTTGGGGGTGGGAAAAGCCCAAAACCCCCTGGGAATGGGACATTCGGGATTTGGGGGGTGGAAAACCCTCAAAAGCTCCTGGGAATGGGAAATTTGGGATTTGGGGGTGGCAGAAAATCTCAAAGCCTCCTCGAGTCTTAGCAGGATTCCAGGAATTCCCGGGAAGGGCAAATTTGGGATTTGGGGTTTTGGGTTTTGTTTTCTGCGTCCGTTTTTTTTTTGGCATTTTTCTCCTTTTGAGCTTTTAAGGGCTTTTTGTTTGCGTGGGTTTTTTTGTTGTTTTTTTGGGTTTTTTTTGTTCGTTTTCCCCCTTTTTGGAGGTTTTTAGGGGTACCTGGTAGAGGCCCTGTGTGTCGGGGTCACTTTTGGGGTCACTTTTGGGGTCGGGGGCCAGCAGCTGCCCCTCGAGGTGGCCCAGCCGTGCCTCCAGCGCCTCCTTGGCGGCTCTCAGCTCGCTCAGCCTGGGCAGCGAAGGGTTAACGGGGCAAATCAGGGGTTAATGGGGGAAACCAAGGTTTACTGGGGTTTTCTGGGGGGGGGATCATGGGTTCCTGGGGTTTTTTTTGGGGTCCAGAGGGGATTTGGGGGGGTTTAGGTGGAATTAGGGGAGGTTTGGGGGTTTTCGGGGGGATTAAGGGAGGTTTAAGAGGGTCTTGAAAGGGTCTTTGGGCCCCAAACCCCAAAAGTGACAAAGGGGGACCCACAGTGGCCTCAGACCCCAAAGGGCCACCCCAAACCCCAAAGGGACACCAGGGGTGACCCCAAACCCCAAAGGGCCACCCCAAACCTGCCCCCAGCCCTTCAGGGGACCCCAAACCCCGGGGGGGGACCCCAAAGCCCAGAGGGACAATGGGCGTGGCCCCAAACCCATCCCCCCATCGGTGACCCCATTACTGGGCCTGGCTCCGCTGCAGCTCCTGGGATTTCCTGTCCAGGGCCTCCCGCAGGATTTGGGATTGGGGCAAGTCTGGAGCCCCCACGGAACTCTGGGACATTCGGGGACATTCGGGATGTTAGGGACATCGCACCCTAAAATCCCAAACCCCAAACCCATCCCAAACCCATCCCAAATCCCAAACCCATTCCAAATCCTAAACCCATCCCAAGTCCTAAACCCATCCCAAATCCCAAACACATCCCAAACCCATCCCAAATCCAAAACCCATCCCAAACCCCAAATCCATCCCAAACCCCAAACCCCAAATCCATCCCAAACCCCAAATCCATCCCAAACCCATCCCAAATCCATCCCAAACCCCAAATCCATCCCAAACCCATCCCAAACCCATCCCAAACCCATCCCAAATCCATCCCAAACCCCAAATCCATCCCAAACCCATCCCAAATCCATCCCAAATCCCAAATCCCAAATCCATCCCAAATCCCAAACCCATCCCAAATCCCAAACCCATCCCAAATCCCTCCCAAACCCCAAACCCCAAATCCATCCCAAATCCCAAACCCATCCCAAATCCATCCCAAATCCCAAATCCATCCCAAATCCCAAACCCATCCCAAATCCCAAACCCATCCCAAATCCCATCCCAAATCCATCCCAAATCCCAAATCCCAAACCCATCCCAAACCCCAAACCCATCCCAAATCCCTCTCAAACCCCAAATCCCTGGAATTTTCCCGCTCACCGCCAGCTCCTGGAATTTCCCCAGCAGCCTCGAGGTTTTCCTTTTCAGGGAAATTTCGCTCTCGGAGCTCCTGGATTTGGGGGAAAAAGATTGGGAATGGGGTCACGGAAAAAGGGACGGGGAGAAAAATAATTCCCCCAAGGGGGGATTTTTTGGGCTGTTTTGGGGGAATTTTGGGGCTGTTTTGGGGGGGATTTGAGGCTGGGATTTGGGGGAACTTTGGGGCTGTTCTGGGTGAATTTTGGGGCTGTTTTGGGGGGGATTTGAGGCTATTTTTGGGGTATTTTGGGGCTCTGGGGGCTCACCCCTCCTTCAGGATGCTGTAGATGAGCTCGGTGGGGTTTTCGCCGCCCCCCAATTCCCGCTGATCCCGCAGCAGGTCCGGGGTGGATTTCAGCTTCCAGGAGGGAACAAAAACACTCAATTCCAACAAAACCCCAAACCCCCCATTCCAGAGGGGGGGAAAAAACCCCAAATTTTACAGGGAAAAAACATTTTATAGGGGAAAAGCAAAATTTCATAGGAAAATAACCCCAGTTTAACAGGGAAAAACCCCAATTTTGTAGGTAAAAACCCCCAATTTCATGGGAAACTCCCCCAAATTTAATGGGAAAAGTCCTTAAATTTTATAGTAAAACCCTTTTTTTTTTTTTTTTAGGAAAAACCCCAATTTTCAACTAAAACCTCCATCTTTTAGGAGAAAAAAAAAATTCCAAATTTAATGGGAAAAGTCCTTAAATTTTATAGTAAAACCCTTTTTTTTTTTAGGAAAAACCCCAATTTTCACGTCAACCCTCCATTTTTTAGGAGAAAAAAAAAATTATTTTTTGAGGAATTTCCCCCCAAATACCTGCATCTCCACGCTCTGCTCCTCCACGCCCCCAAACCCGCGGGGAATTTGGGGAATTTGGGGCGGGATGGCGGCGGATTCCCGGGAATTCCGAGCATCCAAACTCTGCGAGCGCTTCCTGGGAGCCGCCCCGGGGCCGCGGAACCTCCGCGCCGCTCGCCCGCGGGGCAAATTCCCGTCGAATTTGGTGATCAGGGAATCCACGGAGCGCAGCGGCTCCGTGTCCACATCCCCGGGAATTCTGGGAATCTCCCCATCCTTTTTTCCCGATTTTTCCCCGCTTTTGGGAAAAGGCGCGCTGAGGTCCCCGTGCGATTGGGATCGGCGCAGCTCCTCCGAGGATTTGGGGATGTTCAGGTGCTGATCCGAGGGTTTTGGGACCCCCCGGGATCGCCCCGAAGTTTCCTCATCCCAGGATTTTGGGACCCCGCGGGATCCCCCTGGAATTTCCTGATCCGAGGGTTTGGGGCCCTTCCTTAGCTCCTCATCCCAGGATTTTGGGAACCCCCGGGATCGCCCCGAAGTTTCCTCATCCCAGGATTTTGGGACCCCCCGGGACCCCCCTGAACCTTCCTCCTCTGAAAACCTGTCCACCCCCTGCACCCCCCCCAGCTCCTTCTCCCAACCTTTCGGGACCCCCCGGCATCGCCCCGAAATTTCCTCCCCCTCCTCCTCCTCCTCCTCCTCGGATCCGCTGGGGGGCCGGGCCAGGGGGGCTCTGGGGGGCGTTTCGGGGTGTCCCCCCTTGATCTGCACGCCGAAGCTGTCCCCGCCGCGCTCGCCGCTGTTGAGCACCACGAAGGGCTGCCCGGCGATGCCCTGCACCCGCACGGCCACGCCGTAGGAGCCGCCGCGGGCGCGGGGCGGGCGCGGGGGTCGCCGCGGCTCCCGGAGGTCGCTGATGAAGCGGATCTGGACCCCGTGGTCCAGCGGCGGCTCCGCCATGCCCGAATTCCTGCACCTCAAGGGGAGAAAAAAATTATTTTCCCTCGGTTTCCCCGTTTTTTTCCACGTTTCCCCCCCCGTTTTCCCCTTTTTCTCCGCGTTTCTTGGCGGTTTTTCCCCCCATTTTCTCCTTTTTTCTTGGCGGTTTTTCCCCCCATTTTCTCCTTTTTCTTGGCGGTTTTTCCCCGTTCTCCCCGCGGTTTTCCCTTTTCTCCCCGTTTTCTGCGGTTCTTTCCCCGGGTTTCCTCCTTTTTTTTTTTTTTTTTTTTTTTCCCTGCGCTTCCCCCCGCCGGTTTTCCTCTCCCCCTCCCGCGCCCCGTTTATCGAGGTTTTCCCCCATTTTATCGCGGGTTTCCCCCGCTTTTCCTCTTTTTTTTTTTTTTTTCCTCCGTTATTCCCCTCTTTTTTTCCCCCCGTTTTCCGGGGTTTTCCCAGTTTTTTCCCAGTTTTTTCCCCGGTTTTCCCCCGGTTTTTCGGACGAGCGGTGACATTTTGGGAGCAGCGCGAGGACGGAACCTCGCCCCAGATCCCGGTTTTTTTGTTTTTGTTTTTGTTTTCCGCGGGAATAAATCGGGAATGACGCGAGGAGCTGCGGAATGAGCGGGGGGGGAAGGGGGATTTGGGGATGTTTGTTGGGATTTGGGGATGTTTGTTGGGATTTGGGGATGTTTGTAGGGATTTGGGGATGTTTGTAGGGATTTCGGGGAATTTGCCATGCCAGGATGGGTCTGAAGTGCCGGGAAAATCCCCAAAAAAAATCCCAAAGGGAAGGAGCAGAGCGTGGGATGGGGGTGGGGAAAAGGATCCCAGGGCAGGGATGGGGTTCCCAAATCCTGCTGCCCCTCCGGAATCCCCACAAAGCCCTGGAATGGCAGGGGAGGGATCCTGGGAGCGGAATTCCCAAATCCCTAAATTCCTGGATCCCCAAACCCCCCCCCCCGATCCCTCAATCCCCGAATTCCCAAATCCCCACATTCTGCCGTCCCTTTGGAATCACCACAAATCCCAGGAATCCCAAAATCCCTGGAATTGCAGGGGAGGGATCCCGGCAGTGGAATTCCCAAATCCCCAAATCCCCGGGATCCAGGAAATCCAGGAACCGACCTGAGCGGGGAGCGGCGCGGGTGGAAAATCGGGAATTTTTCCCGGTGGCCAAAGGGCAGCGGGGCCGGGGCGGGGCTGGGAGCGATCCCGATGGGAATTCCGGCAGCCAGGGAAGACCTTTGGAAGCGCCAGGAGGGGTCGGGATCACCGGGAAGGGCTGGGATCCATCCCAGAAACCGGGATCCATCCCAAACCCTGGAATCCATCCCAAATTCTGGAATCCATCCCAAACCCCTGGATCCATCCCAAATCCTGGAATCCATCCCAAACCTTGGAATCTATCCCAAACCCTTGGATCCATCCCAAACCCTGGAATCTATCCCAGATGCCAGGATCCATCCCAGATCCCGGGATCCATCCCTAACCCATGGATCCATCCCAGATCCTGGAATCCATCCCAAATTCTGGAATCCATCCCAAATTCTGGAATCCATCCCCAACCCATGGATCCATCCCAGATCCTGGAATCCATCCTAAATTCTTGGATCAATCCCAAATTCTGGAATCCATCCCAAGCCTTTGGATCCATCCCAAACCCTGGAATCTATCCCAGATGCCAGGATCCATCCCAGATCCTGGAATCCATCCCAAAATTCTGGAATCCATCCCAAACTCTGGAATCCATCCCAAACCCTTGGATCCATCCCAGATCCTGGAATCCATCCCAAATTCTGGAATCCATCCCAAATTCTGGAATCCATCCCAAACCCTTGGATCCATCCCAAACCCTGGAATCCATTCCAAATTCTGGAATCCATCCCAAACCCTTGGATCCATCCCAGCTCCATCCTGGAGCAGGTGGAGAATCCATGGGAGGGGAGGGGGTTGGGAATGTTCCCAGATGGCTCCAGAAAAAAAACGGGAACAGGGGAGGGCTGGAAAACCGAGAGAGGATTGGATATTCCCAAAAAACCGGGAGAGGATTTGGATTTTCCAGAAATCCGGGAGAGGATCGGATATTCCCGAAATGAGGAAATCCGGGACAGGAATTGCTCTTTTGCTCTCCCAGGATTTCACTGGAAAACTGAAAGGAAAAAAAAAAAAAAAACCGGAATTTTGGGGATTTCACTGGAAAATCAGAAGGAAAAAAAAGCAGGAAAAGGGAATTTAGGGCCCAAAAAAAAACCCGGAATGGGAATTTTCCCTGGGAATGGGGTTGGGAAAAATCAGAGAGGCCATCCCGGCCCCTCGGGAAGGGCAGAATTTTGGGAATTTTCCGGCTGGCTGGGATCCAGGGAAGCACAAAGAGCCTTTGTGGCTCCGACCCAGAAAAAGCCGTTTCGTAATTCCCAGAGTGGCCGGAAAATTGGGGGAAAAAAAAAAAAAAACAACCGGGGTGGCTTTTCCAGGATTTTTTTTTCCTTTTTTTTTTCCTTTTCCTGAAGGAGGAAAAGGGAATTTGGAATTTTGAGAATGGAGAAAGGGAGAAGGGGAAAACCCAGCAGGTCAAAGGTGGGAAAGGAAGGAAAAAAATCCCAAATTTTCCCTGAATATTCCCAAAATTGCTGGGTTGGGATCTTCCCAATATTTAGGATGGTCCCAGTGAGGTTTTCCCAAAATTCCGCCCCGTTCCTGAGTCCCTGGGGCCCAAATCGAGCTCCAAATGATCCCAAAGAATTCCCAAATTACCTCAAATGATCGCAAATGAATTATCCCAATGATCCTAAATTATCCCTAATTATCCCAACTCAATTATCCCAAATTAATTACCCCAAACCATCCCGGTTTGTTTTGTTTTTTTTTTTTTGCCTCCGGGGGATCTTTCCCAAAATTCCGCCCTCAGCTCCTCCCCCGGGCGTTGTTTGGGGCCAAAGTCCGGGAATTTGGAGCCGCGCCCAAAAACCGGGAGCGGCTTTTCCGGATTTTCCAGTTTTTCCCGCTTTTCCTGGGAACCCGAAACCGGGGAGGGGCGGAGATCGAGGGGGCAGAGGGAATTGCACCTGGAAAAATGGGAATTTTCACCCGGAAAAAGGCTGGGGAATGGGATCTTTCACCTGGGACAAGGGCGGGGAGAGGGATTTCATTTGGGATCGGGAATTTTCGGGATCATCCCCCAGGAGCTGCTCCGGGGCTCCCTGCGGAGCTGAATTCCAGGAATTCCAGCCCAGCTCTGGGCAGAGCTCCCGGGTTAACCCTCGACCCCAAATCCTGGGAAATCGACCCCAAATCCTGGGAAATCGACCCCAAATTCTGGGAAATCCCGTCCCCGCCGCTGCCGGGACAATCCCGACCCCGATCCCCGCCGGGATCCGGTGACAATTTCCAGGGAAATAGAGCCCGTGGAACCGGAGCCCTCGGGATAAAATTCCTGAGCACAGAAAAGCCTCGGGATAACCGGGAATGATCCCGTTCCTTTGGGATAACCGGGAATGATCCCGTTCCTTTGGGAATGATCCCGTTCCCTGGATACCAAAATCCCTGCAGGGTTTGGGGTCACTCTGGGTTTGCCCCTGAGTTCCATCCCGAAATTCCCGCCCTGAGGAATTCAATCCCACACATTTCCCCCGGGAATTCCCTCCCTGGCCCCAGGAAGCCGCAGGGAAAAGGCGAAACCCCAAATCCTGCCCAGGGAAAAGGAATTCCGATGATCCCAAACCGGTCCGACCGGTCTGGGAACGCCCGGAGCGATCCCAAAAGCCCGGAACAAAGAGGGAAAAAACCCGCTGGACTTGGGATCCCCGGGATTGGGATTCCCTGGGTTTGGAATCCCCTGGGTTTGGGATCCCCGGGAATGGGATTCCTTGGGTTTGGGATAACCTGGATTGGGATTCCTTGGGTTTGGGATCCCCGGGATTGGGATCCTCGGGATTTGGGATCCCCGGGATTGGGATTCCTTGGGTTTGGGATACCCTGGGTTTGGGATCCCCTGGGTTTGGGATCCCCTGGTTTTGGGATTCCTTGGGTTTGGGATTCCTTGGGTTTGGGATCCCCTGGGTTTGGGATCCCCTGGCTTTGGGATTCCTTGGGTTTGGGATCCCCTGGATTGGGGATCCCCTAGATTGGGATGCCCTTGGTTTGGGATTCCTTGGGTTTGGGGTCCCCTGGATTGGGATCCCCTGGCTTTGGGATCCTCTCACTTCGGGAAGAGGCTCCAAAAACGCCCCTGGATTTTTCCCCAATCATTGAAGGGATAAAAGGCGGAAGTTGCGCTGCCCTGAAAGGTCAGGAAGGGTTTCCTGGGGGATCCCAGAACCTGGGACAGGACCCCCTAAAGGGACACCGGGACCCCTTAAAGGGACACTAGGACCCCCTAAAGGGACACTGGGACCCCAAAAAGGGACACCGGGACCCCTAAAGGGACACCGAGACCCCCTAAAGGGACACTGGGACCCCAAAAAGGGACACTGGGACCCCTAAAGGGACACCGGGACCCCAGAAAGGGACACCAGAACCCCCTAAAGGGACACTGGGACCCCAAAAAGGGACACCGGGACCCCATAAAGGGACACTGGGACCGCCTAAAGGGACACTGTGACCCCAAAAAGGGACACCGGGACCCCCTAAAGGGACATCAGGACCCTGTCCGGTGTCCCCAGGACCCTCTCCGGTGTCCCCAGACCCCTCTGCGTGCCACCCGAACCCTGTCCTGTGTCAGCACTGCTCTCTCCCGTGCCACCACGAGCGTCTCCGGTGTCACCAGCACCTCCTCCGGTGTCACCAGCGCCCTGCCCGGTGTCTCCGGGCCTGTGCCCGCTGAGACAAGACCCTGCCCGGTGTCACCAGCGCCCTCTCCGGTGTCACCAGCGCCCTGTCCCGTGCCACCAGCGCCCTGCCCGGTGTCCCCAGCCCACTGTTCGGTGTCACCAAGCCCCCCGCGCAGGCGGAAAGACCCTCTCCGGTGCCACCAGCCCCTGCCCGGTGTCCCCAGGTCCCCGTGCGATGTCCCCAGGTCCCTGTCTGGTGTCCCGAGATTCCTGTGCGATGTCCGCAGCCCGTGTCCCCCCCCCCCCACTCACCGCCCGCTCCCGCCGCAGCCACCGCAACCTGTTACCTTCGCCCAGGCCCCGCCCCCCGACACTGATTGGCCAGCACCACCCCAAACCCCGCCTATTGGGCGCGGCTCCGCACCACAGACCACGCCCAGCACCGCACCGGTGCTGCGTCACGTGGGGGGGTGCCGCCATCTTGAGGAGGGCACCGAGCCCTGGCCGGTATTTTCGCCACGCTCAAGATGGCGACTAAGCCACGCCCACTCGCTACGGCGGCGGGAAGCGGCCGCGTTTCCTCGGCGCAGGCGCAATAGCGGCGTGACTAAGATGGAGGTCGGGGCAGCGCCGCCGCCGTTCTGGGCCGGGGGCCCGGCCCCGGGACAAACGTACATCCCCCGGGCTCTGGGACACACCGACATCCCCCAGCGGGGCACCAGCACCGGGCCCGCCGCGCTGCCCGCGGGCCGCACGCTGTGAGGGCAGCGGGGGCGCGGGAAGGGGTGGGGGATGGGGGATGGGGGGGTCCTGAGTGAACGGGGGAGGGAACTGGGGAGACTGGGAGGGTCCCTGAGGGAGCAGGGAATGGGGAGACTGAGGGGATTTGGGGAAGGGAAATGGGGGGATTTGGGAAGGGTCCCTGAGGGCTGGGGGGGCGAACTGGGAGCGGAACTGGGGGAACTGGGAAGGGGGGAAAGGGAAGGAGCAGAAAATACGGGAATGCCAGGGGGACTGCAGGGGCGCAGGACGAACAAACTGGGAGGAAGCAGGATCCGAACTGGTGTAACTGGGACCAGACTGGTGACACTGGGACCCAGCCTGGTGTGACTGGGACCAGACTGGTGTGACTGGGACCAGACTGGTGAGACTGGGACCAGACTGGTGTGAGTGGGACCCAGACTGGTGTGACTGGGACCAGACTGGTGTGAGTGGGACCAGACTGGTGAGACTGGGACCAGACTGGTGAGACTGGGACCAGACTGGTGTGAGTGGGACCAGACTGGTGAGACTGGGACCAGACTGGTGAGAGTGGGACCCAGACTGGTGTGAGTGGGCCCAGACTGGTGACACTGGGCCCCAGACTGGTGACACTGGGCCCCAGCCCGGTGTAACCGGGCCCCAGACTGGTGACACTGGGATCCAGACCGGTTTAACCGGGTCCCGGCGCGCCGTGACCGGGCCCCAGACTGGTGACACTGGGCCCCGGCCTGGTGTGACCGGGCCCTGGAGCGCCGTGACCGGGCCCCAGACTGGTGTGACCGGGCCCCAGACTGGTGACACTGGGCCCAGCCTGGTGTGACCGGGCCCCAGACTGGTGACACTGGGACCCTACTGGTGACACTGGGCCCAGCCTGGTGTGACCGGGCCCCGGCGCGCCGTGACCGGGCCCCAGCCTGGTGACACTGGGATCCAGACTGGTGACACTGGGATCCAGACTGGTGACACTGGGATCCAGACTGGTTTAACCGGGCCCCGGCCCGGTGTCACCAGATCTAGGGAGCAGGGGAATGGGGAGACTGAGGGGATTTGGGGAAGGGAAATGGGGGTATTTGGGAAGGGTCCCTGAGGGCTGGGGGGGCGAACTGGGAGCGGAACTGGGGGAACTGGGGAGGGGGGAAAGGGAAGGAGCAGAAAATACGGGAATGCCAGGGGGACTGCAGGGGCGCAGGACGAACAAACTGGGAGGAAGCAGGATCCGAACTGGTGTAACTGGGACCAGACTGGTGACACTGGGACCCAGCCTGGTGTGACTGGGACCAGACTGGTGTGACTGGGACCAGACTGGTGTGAGTGGGACCAGACTGGTGAGACTGGGACCAGACTGGTGAGAGTGGGACCCAGACTGGTGTGAGTGGGACCAGACTGGTGTGAGTGGGACCAGACTGGTGTGACCGGGACCAGACTGGTGAGACTGCGACCCAGACTGGTGAGACTGCGACCCAGACTGGTGAGACTGGGCCCCAGACTGGTGAGACTGGGCCCCAGACTGGTGTGACCAGACCCCAGACCGGTGAGACTGGGCCCCAGCCCGCCGTAACCGGGCCCCAGACTGGTGACACTGGGCCCCGGCCTGGTGTGACCGGGCCCTGGAGCGCCGTGACCGGGCCCCAGACTGGTGTGACCGGGCCCCAGACTGGTGACACTGGGACCCTACTGGTGACACTGGGCCCAGCCTGGTGTAACCGGGCCCCAGACTGGTGTGACCAGGCCCCAGACTGGTGACACTGGGACCAGCCCGGTGTGACCGGGCCCCGGCGCGCCGTGACGGGCTCTCTGTGCCAGGAGCCCCATGGTGACCGGCACAGACTGGTGACACTGGGCCCAGACTGGTGACACTGGGCCCAGACTGGTGACACTGGGCCCAGACTGGTGACACTGGGCCCAGACTGGTGACACTGGGCCCAGACTGGTGACACTGGGCCCAGACTGGTGACACTGGGCCCAGACTGGTGACACTGGGCCCAGACTGGTGACACTGGGCCCAGACTGGTGACACTGGGCCCAGACTGGTGACACTGGGCCCAGACTGGTGACACTGGGCCCAGACTGGTGACACTGGGCCCAGACTGGTGACACTGGGCCCAGACTGGTGACACTGGGCCCAGACTGGTGACACTGGGCCCAGACTGGTGACACTGGGCCCAGACTGGTGACACTGGGCCCAGACTGGTGACACTGGGCCCAGACTGGTGACACTGGGCCCAGACTGGTGACACTGGGCCCAGACTGGTGACACTGGGCCCAGACTGGTGACACTGGGCCCAGACTGGTGACACTGGGCCCAGACTGGTGACACTGGGCCCAGACTGGTGACACTGGGCCCAGACTGGTGACACTGGGCCCAGACTGGTGACACTGGGCCCAGACTGGTGACACTGGGCCCAGACTGGTGACACTGGGCCCAGACTGGTGACACTGGGCCCAGACTGGTGACACTGGGCCCAGACTGGTGACACTGGGCCCAGACTGGTGACACTGGGCCCCAGACTGGTGACACTGGGCCCAGCCTGGTGTGACCGGGCCCCGGCGCGCCGTGACCGGGCCCCAGCCTGGTGACACTGGGATCCAGACTGGTGACACTGGGATCCAGACTGGTGACACTGGGATCCAGACTGGTTTAACCGGGCCCCGGCCCGGTGTCACCAGGCCCCAGACTGGTGACACTGGGCCCAGACTGGTTTAACCGGGCCCCGGCCCACCGTGACCGGGCCCTGGCGCGCCGTGACCGGGCCCCAGCCTGGTGTGACCGGGCCCCGGCGCGCCGTGACCGGGCCCCAGCCTGGTGACACTGGGATCCAGACTGGTGACACTGGGATCCAGACTGGTTTAACCGGGCCCCGGCCCGGTGTCACCAGGCCCCAGACTGGTGACACTGGGACCAGCCCGGTGTGACCGGGCCCCGGCGCGCCGTGACGGGCTCTCTGTGCCAGGAGCCCCATGGTGACCGGCACGTCGGTGCTGGGGCTGAAGTTCTCCGGGGGCGTGATGCTGGCCGCGGACACGGTGGGCTCCTTCGGATCCCTGGCGCGGTTCCGGGGCGTCTCCCGCCTCCTCAAGGTCAACGACTCCACCGTGCTCGGAGCCTCCGGGGACCTGGCGGATTTCCAGCACCTGCGGCAGCTCCTGGAGCAGATGGTGTAAGGCTCCCAGGGATTCCCAGCCCGGATTCCCTCGGGAATTCCGGGATTCCCCCATCCCAAAATCCCCAGCTGATTCCCTGGGATTTGAGAATTTCCCATCCTAATTGTTTTCTGTGCGCCAGTCCCCAGAACTCCTCCGCTCCAATCCCAGAATTCCTTCAGCACCAATCATCAAATTCCTTGAGCACAATGCCCAGAGTTCCTTGGGCACAAATCCCTGAATCTCCTGGAGCTCCATCCCCGAATTCTGCGGCGTTTTTTGTTCTTCCCCAATCCCTGAACCCCTGATCTCCAATCCCTGAACCCCTGATCTCCAATCCCTGAACCCCTGATCTCCAATCCCTGAACCCCTGATCTCCAATCCCTGAACCCCTGATCTCCAATCCCTGAACCCCTGATCTCCAATCCCTGAACCCCTGATCTCCAATCCTCCCTCAATCCCTGCTCTCCAATCCCTCAATCCCTGATCTCCAATCCCTGAACCCCTGATCTCCAATCCCTCAATCCCTGCTCTCCAATCCCTGCTCTCCAATCCCTCAATCCCTGCTCTCCAATCCCTGAACCCCCGTCCCCAAATCCCTGCCCTCCACTCCCCGCATCCCCGATCTCCAAGGCGGAATTCCGTGGAATTTCAGGATCGACGAGGAGCTGCTGGGGGACGGGCACAGCTACAGCCCGCGGGCGCTGCACTCGTGGCTGACGCGGGTCCTGTACAACCGGCGCTCCAAGATCAACCCCCTCTGGAACACCGTGCTCATCGCCGGCGTCTACGGCGGGGAGAGGTGACGCTCCCGGCGCTGCCGGTTCCCGGGGTTCCTGCTCCTTCCCAGGGGAATTCCTGCTCCTTTTTCCTGCTGTGGCTCCTGCTGCTTCGCGGGGAAATGAGACTTTTCCCTGGGGTGGTTTCTCCTGCTTCTTCCTGGGGAATTCCTGCTTTTCCCTGGGGGGTTTCCTGCTTCTTCCTGGGGAATTCCTGTTTTTTCCTGGGGGTGGTTCCTGCTCCTTCCCAGGGGAATTCCTGCTCCTTTTTCCTGCTGTGGCTCCTGCTGCTTCGCGGGGAAATGAGCCTTTTCCCTGGGGTGGTTTCTCCTGCTTCTTCCTGGGGAATTCCTGCTTTTCCCTGGGGTGTTTCCTGCTTCTTCCTGGGGAATTCCTGTTTTTTCCTGGGGGTGTTTCCTGCTCCTTCCCAGGGGAATTCCTGCTCCTTTTTCCCGCTGTGGCTGCTGCTGCTTCACGGGGAAATGAGCCTTTTCCCTGGGGTGGTTTCTCCTGCTTCTTCCTGGGGAATTCCTGTTTTTTCCTGGGGGTGGTTCCTGCTCCTTCCCAGGGAATTCCTGCTCTTTCTTCCCGCTGTGGCTCCTGCTGCTTCGCGGGGAAATGAGCCTTTTCCCTGGGGTGGTTTCTCCTGTTTCTTCCTGGGGGATTCCTGCTTTTTCCTGGGGTGTTTCCTGCTCCTTCCCAGGGGAATTCCTGCTCCTTTTTCCCGCTGTGGCTCCTGCTGCTTCGCGGGGAAATGAGCCTTTTCCCTGGGGTGGTTTCTCCTGCTTCTTCCTGGGGAATTCCTGCTTTTTCCTGGGGGTGTTTCCTGCTCTTTCCCAGGGGAATTCCCACTCTCCCGTTCCATTCCGCAGTTTCCTGGGATACGTGGACATGCTGGGCGTGGCCTACGAGGCGCCGTCGCTGGCCACGGGATTCGGGGCGTACCTGGCCCAGGTGAGCCCGGGCTCGGGTCTTCACTCCATCATTGAGTTCTTGATTGGTTCTTTTCTTTTTTGCTTCATTCCTTTCTGGCTCCTCATTTTTTAACTGATGTTTTGATCACTTGACCTGATTTTGATTGATTGGTTCCTTCATTCCCAATCCGTGTGCAGCCGCTGCTGCGGGCGGAGCTGGAGCGGGAGCGGGATCGGCTCCCGACGCGGGAGGAGGCGCGGGAGCTGCTGGAGCGCTGCCTGAAGGTGCTCTACTACAGGGATGCTCGCTCCTTTAACAGGGTTTGTATCCCAAATCCACCCCAGATCCATCCCCAGATCCATGGGATCCATCCCCAGATCCATGGGATGCATCCCAAACCCACCCCAATCCCGGGACTGGGCACTGCTGGAGCGCTGCTCTACTACAGGGATGCTCGCTCCTTTAACAGGGCTTGTATCCCAAATCCACCCCAAAATCCCGGGAATTCATCCCCAAAATCCATCCCCAAACCCACGGGATGCGCCCCAAACCAATCCCAGGTTTTTTCCCCCCCGGAATTCCGGGCGGGATTGAGGAATTCCGGGCTTTTCCCGCAGTACGAGGTGGCCACGGTGACGGAGAAGGGCGTGGAGCTGGAGGGACCCCTGACCCTGGAGGCCAACTGGGACATCGCCCACCTGGTCAGGTAATTCCCGCCCGGAATCTTGGGATTTGGGAATTCTGGGGACATCCAGGTGTTCTGAGTGGGATCCAGCTGTTCCTGGGGCTATCCAGGTGTTCTTCCTGCCCCTCTAACTCCTGCTTTTTGCCTTTTTTTTTCCCGTTTTTCCAGAGGTTTCGAGTGATCTCCAGGAGCTGCTCCGGCCATGGTGAATTCCTGGTTTTTTATCCCATCCCTTCTTTCCGTCTGGAATGGCAAATCCAGCTTTTTTTTTTTTTGGGAATAAAATCGTGTAAGACCTACCCGTGTGTTTGTTCTTTGGGAATCCTCAGAATTCTGTGGGAATTCTGCCGGAAAAACACAGATTTCAGGGAGTTCTGGAATTCCGGGTGGACGCCGTGGCCCCAAATCCCAATTTTTACCGAAATTGTGGAATTTCTGAGGTGGGAAAAGCCCTTCTGGGATGGAGCCTGGGCATCCCTAAACCCTGTCCATGATTTTGAGGCCATTCCCAAGCTTGGGAATTCCAGGCTGGGTTGAATCCAAAACCAGCCCAAATTTGCCCCAAATCCTTTTACAGGGAATTGTGGGAATTCTGAGATAAAATCCCAATTTTTGGGGAATTTTTGCTGCTGCAAATGGACCTGCAGGGGTTTTTCTGGGAATTCCAGGGTTATGGAATATTTCAGTAAATTAAGGTTTCTGTAAAACCCTGGAAGATTTTACTAAAATATTGGAATATTTCAATAAGCAAGGCTACAAAAATCCAATTAAAATGGAAATTTTCCTCTCCCTACTCCCAAAATTACTCCAGCAGCATTTTCCCAACTTTTCCTTAAAAAAAAAAAAACAGGAATTCTCCATGGAAAAAAAACAATTCTGACCCTGAATTTCAATGAGCAAGGCTACAAAAATCCAATTAAAATGGAATTTTTCCTCTCCCTACTCCCAAAATTACTCCAGCAGCATTTTCCCAACTTTTCCTTAAAAAAAAACCCCAGGAATTCTCCATGGAAAAAACAAATTCTGACCCTGTAGAAGTAATGAAATCCAGGATTTTTCCACCCAAATCCCTTGGGAATGAAGGAATGTTTTCCACAATAAAAACACTGTTTATTTATAAATCCATTTCCCTGCTTTTATTCCATGTTCTCCACTCCTGTACAATTCCAAGCTGATCCATATTTTTTTATTTTTTAAATTTTATTTATTTTGATTTTTTTTTTAATTATTTTTTTCATGTTTTTTTTTTTTCATGTTTTACTTTGGGGAAAAAAAAAACAAAAACAAAAACAAAAACAAAAAACCAAAACAAAACCAAAAAAACCCAAACCTCCACAAATCTTATGGAAAAACAGGTGCTGGGTGCCTCTGGAATTTGGGAATTCCAAGAACTTTTAAAATTTAAAAAAAAAACAAAACATTTTTCCCAAAAAACATGCAAATTCCCGTAAAAAAATCGGAGCTGGCAGTGAAAAATCAACCCAAAACCTTTTTTTTTAAACGGATTTTTTCGGGTTTCCTGTCACAGTTTTAGTCCCAAATCCTGGATTTTCTGATCCTAAGGAAGGCAGGGTTTTCCAGGATGGTTCTTTATTAAATAAAGTTGATAATTAACAATCCAAAAGGGGGAAATCCAAGGAAAAGTTGGGTTTTTCTGCCCCTCCAATGGGAATTTTTTGGGGCAGAAATTGGGAAAATCGAGGTCGGGACAGGAAAAGCAGCGCCAGTCCCAAAAATTGCTGGTGTGGAATGGTGGCTCCACAATTCCCAAGACAAATTCCCTCAAAACTCCCTAAAATTCCACCAAAATTCGGTCAAAATTCCCAATTTCCATTAAAAAAACCCCCAAAATAGCTGAATCTTCGCAGCCAATCCGAAGGAATTTTCCATAAAAACAGATTTTTTGGGTTAAATTCCAAAAAACAGTCAAGGAAAAAAGAAAAAACTCCCCGAATTTTTTTTTTGGGGGGGAGTTAAATCCAGGGATTTTTTTTGTCTTATTGGAAAAAAAAAACTGGGCACAAACGACGTCAAATTCCAGGAATTACGGTACAAGTGAGGTCAAGAAAATTCCCAAAAAATATCCAGCCACGAGAGAGAATTCCAAGGAAATACCAACACAGGGAATCCAAGTTGGGTTGGTTTTTTTTAAAATTTAAAAAATAAAGAAAAAAAAAAAACCCACGAAAATCCTCCCAAAAAATTGGCGGCAACGGCAAATCTGCAAAAATCCCAGAAATCCGCCGGGAACTGTTTGTTCCCAAAAGTGGGAATGTTCTTTGTTTTGGGGCCAAAAATTTGGGAATATTCTTTGATTCTGGGGCCGAAACTTGGGAAAATCCTTGGGTTTTTGGGGCTAAAAAATGGGAATATCCTTTAATTTCTGGCGCACTTTGGGCTCTCCAGAAACGGGGAGCTTCCTTTTGATTTTTGGGGCCAAAACCAAGAATTTCCTTTCATTTTGGCGGCCAAAAATAGGGGATATCCTTCAAGTTTGAGGGCGGAAAATTGGGAGCAGCCTTCGGTTTCTGGGATTTGCTTGGATCTCCAAAAAACAGGGAATATCCTTTAAGTTCCGGGGGCTGGGCACTGGGAATATCCTTCCAAAAACTTGGAATATCCTTCCATTTCTGCAGGCAAAAACTTGGAATATCCTTCCATTTCTGCAGCCAAAAACTTGGAATATCCTTCCATTTCTGCAGCCAAAAACTTGGAATATCCTCCCATTTCTGCAGGCAAAAACTTGGAATATCCTTCCATTTCTGCAGCCAAAAACTTGGAATATCCTTCCATTTCTGCAGCCAAAAACTTGGAATATCCTTCCATTTCTGCAGCCAAAAACTTGGAATATCCTTCCATTTCTGCAGCCAAAAACTTGGAATATCCTTCCATTTCTGCAGCCAAAAACTTGGAATATCCTTCCATTTCTGCAGCCAAAAACTTGGAATATCCTCCCATTTCTGCAGCCAAAAACTTGGAATATCCTTCCATTTCTGCAGCCAAAAACTTGGAATATCCTTCCATTTCTGCAGCCAAAAACTTGGAATATCCTTCCATTTCTGCAGCCAAAAACTTGGAATATCCTCCCATTTCTGCAGCCAAAAACTTGGAATATCCTTCCATTTTCGGGCCCAAACCCAGGGAACGCCCCTTCCACTCCCAGCGCTCCTTGGCCTCTCCAAACGCAGGAATTTCCGGGATGAATCCCTCCCGTTTTTTTTGGGTTTTTTTTCCGGGAATTCTCAAATTTCCATCAGATCCAAATCGGCCTCCTCGAAGCCGTAGAAGGACTCGGCCTCGCTCTCCCCCTCGAAGAGCCGGTGCAGGATTTCGGGATCGGCCTCGGGGTCGTCGTTTTCCGGGAATTCCGGGGACGACTGCCCGCTTTTGGCGATCCTCAGCCTCTCCTCCATGGCGGCGATCAGCTCCTCCTGCTCGTCGCCGTTGCGCCGCGGCGACGCCGAATCTCCGGCCGGCGCCGGCAGGACGCTGGCCACCAGGAAAGATTTCCGGATCAACTCCGGGCAATCGCCGAGGATCTCCAGAGCTTCTCCCAGCCAGCCCAGCAGCAGCTGGAGCAGCGCCGAGGAGTCGGCATCCAGCGGGCCTCTGGCCCGTTCCTTCCATTTTTTGCGGAGGAAGCTCTTGAGGGATCTCTTGACGCACACGTCCAGCGGCTGCGCGCGGGAGCTGCAGCCGGCCGGGATGACGGCCGGCAGCGCCCCGGCCGCGCTCAGCACGGCCAGCACCTCCTCGGAGAGGTGCGTCCGGTGGCAATCCAGGACCAGCATCCCTTTGGAAGCGCCGCCTCGGCGTTCCGCGTGCTTCCTCCACACCCTGGCCGCCCACAGTTCCATGATCTCGTCGTCGCCGCAGCCGTCCTCCTTGGACTCCAGCAGCACGGATCGGGGAAGGGCGGCCGGGCGGGGGAGGCGGCCCCTGGACACCACCAGGGCGGGGAGGACGCCGCCGTCGGCCAGCACGCTCAGCACCAGCTCGCACCACGGCTCCCCGTTGCCCACGGTCTGCAGCGCGCTCTCCTTGCGCTCGTCGCTGCCCAGGACCTCGGCGTCCAGGAAAAGGGAGATCTCGTCCACGGCGGCGATCATGGCCAAGGGCAGCTCCTGCGTGTGGATCTGGCGCTGCACGAACTCGATGAAGGCGCCGGCGTTGCCCTGGATCTCCTTGGGGAGAGGGCGGGCCACGCCGCGGCGCGTGTGGGTGCCGAGGTGGTGGCGCAGCATGAAGCCCACGGCCCACTCGTAGGAGATCTGGAAGCCTCCCTCCAGGGCGCGCCCGATCTTGGTGGCCTTCTGGAAGAGCGTCTCCTCGTTGACCGGCAGCTGCTGCTCGCGCTGCGTCAGCACCCACTCGGCCAGCTTCTCCTCGGCCTCCAGGCTCAGGTACTTGCCCTCGGGCAGCTCGGGGCGGTCGTCCCGGAAGGCCTGGAAGCGCCGGAGCCAGCGGCGGATGCGGCGCGGAGGGTTCCGGAAATGCCGGGCCGCCTGCTCCGTGCTGGAGCACAGGGCGAACAGCACCACGCGCAGCTTCTTGACGGAGAGCTGCTCCTTCCTGGGGGGCTCGGGGTCCTTTTGGGGAGGGTCCCCGTCGGGGGGACGGGGGGTCGGGGTTGGCTGGGGGTGCTGGGGAAGGGGTTGGAGAAAGGGAGAATAGGGAAGGGAGGAAAAAGGGGAGAGAAAAGTGGGGGGAAAAGGGAGGGAAAAGGAAAAACAAGGGGGAAGAAGGGGAAAATGAGGGGAGGAAAAAGGGGGAGAGGGGAAAAAAGGAAAAATAAAATGGGGAAGGGGGAAAAAAGGGGAAGGAAAAAAGAGGAGGAAAGGAGGAGAAGGGGGGAAAAGGGGGTAAGGAAAAAATATGGGGAACAAAAAGGGGAGGGGAAAAAAGGGGAGGAAAAAAAAGGGAGGAAAAAGGGGAGAGAAAAGTGGGGGGAAAAGGGAGGGAAAAGGAAAAACAAGGGGAGAAAGAAAAGGAGGGAAAAGGGGGGAAAAATGAGAAAAAATTCCCAATGCCATGGACTGGGGGGACGAGGAGAAACAGGAATTTTTTATTTACCTGGAATGTGACATCCAAGAAGGCCCTGGAATAAAATAAAACAGAATATTTCAGGTTCTTATTCTGATTCACTTGAGGTGGTTTAGGCTTTTACTTAATTTTATTTCAGAGGAATTTGGGATTTGTGAGAATCCCTGGAAAAGCTGGAATCACACCAAGCTCCCTCAGGAATGAATTGTGAATTTCCATCCCATTAAAAAAAAAAAAGCAAAATTAACTCAAGTTTATTCCCAACCTGAGCTCCAGAATATGAAGATTTCTTGGATTTTGGCTGGAATTTCAGGTTTTTCCTGGTTTTTTTTCCCTTTTTTTTTTTTCCTTTTTTTTTCCCTTTTTTTTTTTCCCTTTTTATTTTTTCCTTTTTCTTTTTCCCTTTTTTTTTTCCCTTTTTTTCCCTTTTTTTTTTTCCCTTTTTTTTTCCTGCTTTTACCTTGGACAATGATGTTGCTGGACTCGTGGGAGGGGTTGAACACCAAATGTTTGGCCATGGAGTCTCCCTCAGAGGTGACAAAGAGGCAGGAGGAGCACGAGAGCCTCACCCCGCTGGGAAAAGGGGAAAAAAGAGGAGAAATGGGAAAAAAGGGGGGAAAAAAAAAAATCCCTGGGTTTTTCCCAGAGTGAAAAAGGTCAGGAATTCCCCTGGAATTGGGATTTTGGGGGTTTTTTTGCATACCTGGCCGTGTAGTTCTTGAATAAAGCCAAATATTTGGGGCTTTTCCTGGGAACGTGGTTGCTGGAGAGGGAAAGAGATGGAAAAGTCAGGGATCAAAGGAAACACCCCACAAATAATATAAATCCCATAAAAAACCCTATGAAATTCCCTAAAAATCAGGTTTATATATAAACCCATATAAAATATCCTATAAAAGTCATATAAATACCCTAAAAAATGCATATAAAATTCCCAAGAAGATCATGGAACACATCCTATAAATCCATTGAAAACAGCCCACACAATCCACAAAAACTCCCCTATAACACCCACACAAAATCTCATCTGAAACCCCATAATATTCCCAATGAAACTCCATAAAAACCCCACAAAATCCTCCACAAATCCATACAAAACATCCTAAAAAAAACCCATAAAAATCACCTATAAACCCATTAAAAAATCTTCTATAAAACACTTGAAAACCGCTCAGGAGCCCAAAACTGTTCCCAAATCCCAGATTTTTCCATCCTTGACCATGGGGTTGGGCCAATTCCCCCATTTTTCACTATTTTTGCTCCTGCTTTTGTTCCCATTCTTTCCCAAATCCCAATTTTTGCCCCCAGAGCCATACTTGACCATGTGTTTGGGCCCAATTCCCCCATATTTGACTATCTTTTCTCCTCTTTTTGTTCCCATTTTTTCCCAAATCCCCTTTTTTGCCCCCAGACTCCCTACCTGATCATGTGCTTGGGCCCAATTCCCCATTTTTCCCTATTTTTGCTCCTGCTTTTGTTCCCATTCTTTCCCAAATCCCAATTTTTGCCCCCAGAGCCATACTTGATAATGTGCTTGGGCCCAATTCCCCATTTTTCCCTATTTTTGCTCCTCTTTTTGCTCCCATTCTTTCCCAAATCCCCATTTTTTCCCCCAGAGCCATACTTGATCATGTGCTTGGGCCCAATTCCCCATTTTTCACTATTTTTTCTCCTCTTTTTGCTCCCATTCTTTCCCAAATCCCCAAATTTTTTCCCCCAGAGCCATACTTGATCATGTGCTGGGCGTAGGCGCGCGAGCAGCAGGAATTCCCCATTTTTCCCTATTTTTGCTCCTCTTTTTGCTCCCATTTTCTCCCAAATCCCCATTTTTTGCCCCAGAGCCATACTTGATCATGTGCTGGGCGTAGGCGCGCGAGCAGCAGGAATTCCCCATTTTTCCCTATTTTTGCTCCTCTTTTTGCTCCCATTCTTTCCCAATTCCCCATTTTTCCCTATTTTTTCTCCTCTTTTTG